CTAAAGCAAGGTTTTTACCCCTCCTATGAAGGTTTTAGGGGTGAAAAAAAAGAGAGAAACAGAGAAAAAGGGAGAATATGACAGCCTATTAGAGAGCTTGACTTAGTCCGTATTGATGGGCAGAGGAGGTGAGGGCCACCCTACTGCTGGACGGTGCTGGCAGCACCAGAGTCAGCACCGGAGTCAATTTGGGACCTATTGCATTTGCATGACATCAGAATTAGGCAAGCACAACCATATATGGCTAGATTTCAGCACAATTTTGCTTTCAAGTTCATGATGCTGGTTTCTTCTGGAAATGCGATTTGAACTTTTGAGGCATCAACGTGGCAAGAAAAAAAAAAAAAAACCCGAGCTGAGATATCTATTTGAAATCAAGTAAGTGTAATTTACTTTCAAGCACAACAATAGTAACTATAATTTATCAGAGATTTAATGAAGAGGATGATAAGTTAGGACTTAGGAGGCCAGTAATTATGTTAGATGAGAGCCGAAGCCGATCCAGTGAAGATTCAAGTTCAACTTGCAGGTTAGAGATGACCAACAACAAGCAGATGCAAAGGAAAGGTCTTGAAGATGCCATGATTCGAGCTCAATTAGGCATTATGGGATATTTTCAGGGCATTGAGGAGTCTTTGTTTAGTCCTGCTCCTAATTTTTCATTTTATAGGTGATTTCCCTTTCCTAAGGTATATATGTTCTCAGAGAAAGTTAATCACTGTTACCAAAAGCACTATACTTCATTTCTTATTTTATAAAAAACGAATATAATTTTATTAGAATCAAGAAAATTAAGGCATTTGGACTTTAAGACCTCTCATCACAACCCGTTAAGTAAGTATCAATCAAGCACATATTTAACAAATGATTATAATAAATGTCATGATGTTAGGACGTTTTAATTTTTACTTTTTTTTTTTTGTAATTTTATTGTATCTTATAATCTGCTCATTATGCTTATATATTAACTTGGGAGACTTAAGAAAAAAAGAATGTCAATTGGATTTAAATCTCACGGACATTTTATATAAATGAAAAAATGTGAAAATTATTACATTTGATTCAATTAAAGCCTGTTAATTTTTGAAGTGTCATAAATTATAAAATTAGGAATCTTATAAAAATTTAAAACTAAATTTTCCTAGTTCTCTGCTAAGAAACATATTAATCAAACTTTATTACAGATCTAAAACTAAATTTCCCTGGTTCTCTACTAAGAAACATATATTAATCAAACTTTATTACATATCAAACTTTATGACACTCATAATCTTCAAAGTTATGAAAATTCCATAACATCAAGAACAGAGAGATTGATGGTAAAGAAATACATTAAACAATTTCAAGAAACACAAAGAGCTTGACTTTTGATGCATTGCCAATTTTTTTTTTTTTTAAAGAAAAAACTTTGACTTTTGATTAATTCGAGGATTGCTTTTGCCAAGTTCACTGATTCAATGAATGTGGCTGCGAGCCTGCGACTCAAATTCAAACAGAGCCGTTAATGCAGAGCCATCGCCCAATAAAGATCTTGTCACAATCAAGATTGGGATTGATCTCACTGAAGAAATCGGAAGTCAGATTGAATGGTTAAGCAACGCTGAAACAAGTGTCACCCTTTACAGCACCATAGACAGAGACACAATGTGGCCCTGAGCTCTTTGGTAGCAGCCCAAACCCAACTGCACAATAAAGAACAAACCCAAATTCTCAGTTAGACATTTCATCAAACACTTACTAATTGAAAAAAACCAAACAAGTCAGATTCACATACTGAGGATTAATCTGCCCTCAGCCACGTTAATGACGAGAATGAAAGAAAGAACCAGCGCCATGTCAAGAAACAATGCTGCTGCTTTGCTGTTACAGTTGGCCATTCTTTATATATGCTTTGTCCACAGTATTCCTTGAGTCTCTATTTCTTGATTGAGGTGCATGGAAGCACTGCTGATGGGTTATTTATACAGAAACGGTACAGGAAGAGAACAAAGAGATAATGCATTAAAATCCAAATTTTCATTGGATATGTAAGTTTCTTCTGTCACACAAGGAGGCCATCCTGAGCTCTATGCATTTTGGCGATTGGCGTTTGTTTGTTATATATCTTAATCTCTTTGGTGGTGAACAGGGTGGATCATACAACTTCAATTAGACCAATTTTTGCAATTTTAGGGACATGCTGCTGGCATAATTCGCACAATAATATACACATATTCAGAGACCCTTACGCTGATCATTCTGGGTTTTGAGTTGGTTAAAACTTGAATAACATTGATTTAAGTTTGGTCAATTTGTATTTCTTATGCAAAATGCAAAATTTATTACATTTGATTCAATTTGGATTAATTAATGTATGAAATCCTACGATTCGATGGAAACGTCGAACTTGCTTAGATTCAAGGAAGTGATGGTAAAGCAAAGAAAGGTAAAGGAGGTAAACTATTAATCAATTGATTATTTCTTATTAAGATGTTAATACAATAATTTAGATTATATTTATATTTATTGTAAATATTTTATATCTTAAGAAAATTTTTTTATATATTTTATATTTTAAAATATTTTTTAACATGTATTTTCAACATGCTTCACCTCACTATTTTTCTTTTTTGAACATAGGTAATTGGGTTAGGGGGTAGGGATATATTTCAAAGTCCATTGTGAGAGTAGAACTCTCAATTTAAAGAAGCTCTAAAACTTGAGAATGAATTATTAGGCCACTAAGACGAGCTCATTTCTTTTTGGTTAAATCTTGAATTTGGTTTTTAAACTATTGTATGGATCCTCGATTTGGTCCTTGAACTAAAAAAATCCCTAATATAGTTCCTAAATTATTGTGCAACCCTTGATTTGGTCCCTATTGTTTACCAATTTACCCCAAGTTGGTTCTTCCATACAAAAATCAACCGATGTGTTTTGTTATTAACGTGATACGTGACCCGTGACCGTTAAGTTACTGTTTTTCGTCGTTAAGTAACGGACATGCCAACTTTTTTTTGTACAGAATGATTAACTTGGGGCAAATTGATAAACAATAGAGACCACATTGGGGTTTGTATAATAGTTAAGGAACCAAATCAAGAATTTTTTTAGTTCAGGGATCAAATCGAAGGTCCGTACAATAGTTCAAGAACCATATTGAAGGTTTAACCCTTTTTTTTTTATTATCAATGAGTAGGCAATTAAAAATTATCTCACAACTAAAGTTTCATTGTCGTAGAATTTAAA